ATATAAAACACAACACCTGTAACTTTAGTTTAGTTACAAAGTAATTGAGATTTAATGTTTTCAACCATGCGATCAAAGCTGAACATTACTGCTCAGAGAAGTGCCTCTAATGAACAGTTTAACGTGTGGGAACATGACAACACGGCGTGTGTGCACAGAGTTGTGCAAATGGAGGAAAAGAGGAAGTTATGAAAAGGGGATCCAGAGAGAGTCGGGGACAAAAACATACGGTGACCATATTTGGCGTAAGTACATAATGCAAGCAGAAGATGCAAATGTGATAAGGAGYGGTTGTCATGGAGACTTGATGTTCCGCAGTGATGGTTTGCTGTAAACCTGACCACATTTGCGGTATGGCCGTTGCTAAGCAGAAGCTGCTATTATGAGAGTGAGAGAGAGAAGAGGAAGACCGAAACGAAGATGTCAGTTCGTCCCACAATGCATTGCATCAGCATGACCTGTGCTGAAGTGGCTCTGTGTGTCCCAGTGGCACGTCAGCGATAGACAAACAGGTAAACATTCTGTCTGTGTAATCTATTTATACAAAGGATTTATGTCTGTGGGTCACATTATCAGTRTTTCTGTTGTGTTTGAACTGCTTCTTAAAATACTACAACTGACTGAAGTTGAGAGAAAGTTTCTTTGCTCGATGAGACTAGTTTGCTGTTTGCTAAAATTTGTCCTTTTTTCTCTGTAAGAGGAAGTGGTATTTTGCAATCAGATGGGCCCTTATATCTAGTGGCGACATTAAGACGGGGAAAAAATCGCTAGTAAAAGACCAATGTTAAGTTGTCTCAATTTGCTTTCATTTTATTTCTAAGATGAGCCTCAAGCTTGACTGTTACTTTCATTTGCACATAGTGGTGTCAGATGGGGATAAGGCACGCTGCGATTTCCTTTCTCTGTGTTTCTGTCTTGACACCTTCGTTTGCACCTGCACTCTTATCAAAATGAAAACAGGTTAAGAGAAAACTACAAATGCGACAAGCAAACGTGCCTTCTAATCTGAAAAAAAAAAAAAAACCACGAGGCTTTGTTTAACTTTTAACTTGTTGTATGTGATCAGAAAATCAACTAATGTCTGTGTTATTGTAGTCTCAACTCCACACTGTTTATTTATTTTTTTAAATTGTGCATTATTGAAATGATTGTTAATGTGAGAGTAACGCATACTTGGAGACACAGATGATAAATGAACCGTCAGGTTTTGGCGCACAAAAGCTCTTAGATGTTTCCTCAGAGAAGTGAGAGTTCACATCTGCCAGCCAATGTCATTTACAGAGGACTGAGAAATAGCAAAGCCCTGACATGATGTGGAAGCGTTAGCTGGAAAGTTGAGTTCATTAAAGATGAGGACGAAAAACAGAGGAGATAAAAGGATAATATTTACATTTAGGATGTTAATGATTAAAATGAAATGTACGGGGGGAAAATGGATGCTCTATGATTTTTTTTCCCTTTTGAAATCAACTTTTAGCTTCATTTTCATCAATGCCAAAGCGAGATGACTAAATGAAAAATATGTTACAAACGTTTTCAATATTTAAGTTGCTCTCCTGTGATTATTTTTACTTTTCTTCTTATGAAAAAATGCTGGAATTCCCCTTTTAATGTATCGCTTACACACGTCTTCCTGTTTTCAGTTGGTTAGCATTCGTGCATGAACAGTTTGCTCAGTTAGTGGGTTTATTCACTTTGCTCTGTGCTCCTTCTTTCACACATTCATTGCCTCTCTGACCTCAGCACTACTTTCCTAACTCTGAGATACATAACGTGTTGAGCAGAAGACATGTTTGAATAAACTGTTTGCAGAATGAAACTTGAAAATGTTGCTTGTAAAACAAAATCTGCAAATATTTAGCATTAGGAAACTCTGGCTCAGCTGTTAAAGATATTTATTTATAGTAAAGGGAGAATGAAACGGCACATTATTAGGAGCAGACATTTAGATGTGGGGAGTTTCAGGATAAAGGTCATCTCTGTGTATGCAATTTAGTTTTTATGACAAGTCAGTGAAAGTCATAACGCACAAAATGACAGTAAAACGGTGCACTAAAAATATGAAGAAAGATGTGGCGGAGTAAAATAAAACATACAGAAACCAAAACGAATAGAAGCCTTACACTCAGCTGCATTAAAAAAAGGGAAAATTCCACATCAGCTTCGCCGAGATGCCCCTTCTCTGAAAGTAAAACTGTCTCATATTAATCCTGAACAATATCAGTCACCATTAATTTTTATTATGTTATAACAAAATGCTCGGTTTGCTGTCAAACAGGAAGTGCTGCTAATTTAGAGCACATCGTCTACTGCAGTGTTGCTTTCATGGTTTAGAGCAAACCTTTCCATCAATAATCCCTAATTGTCTAAAACAGACAATGACATGCACAATAACACTATTTATTAAAATTCAAATTAGAAGCTATTTTTGTGCTCCCTCAGCGTGGAGGCACATTTTGTCAAGATCTTTGATAGCGTTGGCACTGCAGCCGACTCTCCCACAAATCAACACCCTGGGTTTAAGATGTGTAAATTAGAGCTGACTTATCAGCAGCTTAATATTAAACAGAACTATGCAGCGGGGAAACTGCTCCATAAAACACAAGCGTTTGAGGCGTGACATTTTTTGTTGTTGTTTTTCAAATGACAATTTTATCAGGATGTTTAAACTCATTTGCAAAACCAAAGTGTAGAATATACAATGATCATGTGTGTGTCGTACTGTTAATTCTCGCGTGGATAATATTAATCCTAATTGTTTGAAAAGAAGGCRTCTGAACTTCCTGTATTGATTTTTATTTATTTATTTTATCCTTTTTTCTGCTCATTTGAAGGTCGGACCGTAGATACAAAAAGCTGTGCTGCCGTGAAACATGTGACTAAAACATCTGACATTTCAGTGGCGTATGTTTTTAACTCCCAAGTGAAATCGACCTAGATGACCCACACAGTGGATGTTTGGGTCTGTGGCGCACATGTGACTTTAATGACTCGCAGGGTGTGCACATCCCCAACTGCAGCTCCCAAACTCGAATATCGGCACCAGCCAAGTAGAACTGACCAGCGTTATGAAAAGTTCAACAAAATGCATTGCGACTTTTATTTATTTATTTATTTATTTATTTATTTATTTATTTATTGTAATGTTTGAATTTTCTTTATGCCCACAAGTGAAATGAGTTATAGACAATATTTATGATCAGAAACAAAACCCGTCTCACAGCTGAAAATCTGTAAGGATTCCTCAGATGCCAGTTCCACTATCTCCTGAGCTGCCGGATATTGCAGCATCAGGTCCAAATCTGATTTTTGGAGGCTCCTTTAGTCCCCCAGACTTTCCTCTGACTGCAGGGGTTGAGGCACTAAAAGCCTTGTGTCAACAGCAATAGAGGAGAGTATGGTACCTGCTATTGCTTTTATATTTCCTCATTCAGTTTGTCCTGTAATATGCTACTGAAGGGCAGCAAATTGTTTCRATTTGTATCTTCCATAGTAGTCATGAGTATTTAAGTTTTATACTTTGTGGTACTATAGTAGTGGATTGATGATGTAGTTTGATGTTGGTACAAAGTGAGGAAGAGGTGCTGTGAGGTAGAGCTGAAGTCTGCATGCCACAGCAGTAGGGTTGGGCATAATCGCATCGTGTGCAATTAATCGTCAGAAAAACATTAATCGATTATTATTTGACACTTAAAGATTAATATGATTAATGCCACCAGGCAGAGTCCGCTCAGTGCTCCTCTCTGCTTCAAATACTGTATGATGAACATTTAAAAAAGTTCTGTAATTCATTTACCTATCGACACAATTAAAAATTTGATGTGTAGCCTGAAGTCTGTAATTTTGACACAATTTGGAACAGATTTTTATGAAGAGCAAATCTTTCCCACCAAATTGGTTATGTGACCTGGACGTAAGGGTCTCCAGGGGATTAATCGTCAAATTAATYGTTATCGTTTAAATACCCCAATTAATCATGATAATTTATTTTGCCAATATTGCCCAATCCTACACAGCAGAAAAGCAGTATGAAGGGGAGAGAATGGAGCTGGACTAATCTGCCACAAACTCCCTGTAAATCTTTCCATAGTTGTTTCCTCCACACCCCTCCATCTATTCATTCTTTCCGTCTGCCGTTTTCCTCCTCGCCATTCTAAGACCCTTCTTTCGCTTGTGCGTTTGACTTCTTTCTGTTTGTTTCCAACTTTACTTTCATATTATTTTTAAACCTTTCAGTCCTCATTGTCACTGTATGGTTTCCCTTATTTATATGTTTGTCTTGTTACTTCCTTCTTCCTGTTGTGTTTTCCCACTCCTTTTTTTATTCACGCACCTTTCTGCTTCTTCTTTAGCTACTGTGGAAAAGCAAGGGCAGCTCTGCTGTAACTGACCTCATACTTCCTGGTGTTGTTTTAGAAAGGGGGGGCGTGGCCATCTTTAGTATAGAGATGAGACGGAGRGAGAGGGAACTGCAGGATCTGTATGCTCAGTGCAGTCACAGCTCCCTCCTCCTCCTCCTCCTCCTTCCACAGCTGTTGCAACTGCCGCCCAGCGAGCAGCACTTCCCTGCAGCAGACAGAYGATCCAGAGGCTGGAGATCCAGTAAAGACGTAGCCCAGCCCGTCTCAGCACAGCTCCGCACAGCCCCAGCTCAGACACTTGAAGAGGCTGGGGAGGGGACGACACTAGCGCACAGCCAACACTGCAACACACACACTCCTCCTCTCCCACTCTCTCTCTCTCTCTCTCTTTCTCTCTCTCTCTCTCTCTCTGTTGGTGCTCAGCTCTGCACAGCTCCTTCACTCGTTCGCTGCTGATTCACTCGCTCCCTCGCTTGCCTCTCCTCTGCCAGTCGCTCTGCCTTGTTGTGTTCTGCCTGCCTTCCTGCCTGCCTGAGAATGGTCCAGCCGGTGCCTAAGGGTCTGCTGTCGTGGCCTGTCTGAACACACGCATAAACACACAGCGCCAGTCGACACGCGGATGCCCACGCACACTAACTGGAGAGCTATGTGAGAGGTAAGAGCTCGCTTTATAGCCCTCCACCCTGTCTCAGGGATTTGTCTAGACCTTTCCTCCTGTCTGAGCTTCTGTCCTCACTTTCTAAACTAAGACACCACGCAGAGAAATATGGAGACTGTGTCTGCTGTATGTTTACATATGTGTGTGGCTTCAGTGTATGGACCACACGGGTAACTTCCATTTGTTACAGCTTGTTTTTATAGATATGATCACATGTACACTGATAAACACATTCCTGGCTCAAACCAGGCAGCCACATAATAACTTCTTCCTGAGGGTAGTGCTAGTTAGCAAGAAAATTTGCTAGTGTGTGTACGTGTGTGTGTGTCTGTGTCTGTGTGTGTGTTTTGGAAGGCCGTGGTTTTTCCAGGAAGCAGTGAAGAGGATCAATAGATCGCCCACTCAGCTTTCATTCCCTTCATCTGACTCAACATTGGACATGTTGGGAGTTATCCTGCAGGGCTCGGTAAAACACACACACAATCGTTGAAAAAGGAAGAAGGAAAAAACAAATCTCAAGCATCTTCACCCTTCTCGCTGCGTCAGCCTGAAGGTGGGAAGCATGGCTTTACATGTGTGCATTTCTGTAACGTGTGTGAGGCGAAACTCCCACCCTCTGTGTATGTAAATTACGCGTGACATGTGAAGCTGCTGCTACCTTATATGGCGAGCAGTATTTCAGTACAGTAGAATCTTGCCAAGCTTTTCGGGTCGCAGGAGGAGAGAGTGTGTTAGAAGGTTGACTCTGTCTGTGTGTGTGTGTGTGTGTTAGTGTATACGTCTGGCTGAGCGAGTGTTTGCATGCGTCTGACAGAACGGTGGTGGGGGAGTAACCAAAAAGAGGAAGAAAGTTTAAAAAGGAAAGACACCCAAGAAAGAAATCCAGTAAATGGAGGGATTTTACGAGCTGATGTTCAAGCGGGTGTAAAAGTAAGTTGCGTCATATTTTATTTTGACTTTGGACAAAGATTTGTGTGTTTTTCTTGGGTTCTTTAAAGATTTAGGTCGGTTTCAAATAATCAGTCCAATATAAGTATGCCAAAAATGCCGCTGGACAAACTGTCTTGTACTCAAAACTGTTTCTTTTTTAAAAAGTACAGCCTTTTGTCAGTGTTTCCTCTTTCTGAGTCCAAAACTGAAAAAAAAAACAGCTGTATAAAACTCTGTTGAATAAAAGAAAAAAAAAAGTAAAAAAAAAAAAACAGACGTATGACAGACGATCTTCGCAGCTTTAACTTTTAGCTTCCATTTCACATTTTTTACCTCTTTGTTTCTCCTCACCATCTCTGCCCTTCTCCTCCTCCTCGCCTCTCCGGGTTTCCTCTTGGCGGCGTGTCCGTGGTTGGGGCAATGGTGAGGAATGTTGTTGTTGTTGTGACTGAGCTGGGTTCATGGTGGCTCAGACAGGAGCACGCACACAAACAACACCCGTATGTACACACATGCAAGTGGGCAAAACGCAGACAGATGTGTGGTTTGTTGTATGGAGGAGTTTTTAAACAAAAGCCCTGCTGCAGGTGGACGGAGTTGCTGTCTAGAAACCATCTGTGCAACATTTCATTTTGTTGGTGCGACTATGGCTGGCGAAAATGACATCTCTTTGTATAGATGTATAGACAGAGGAAGTGTTGTCGGTTGCCTCTAACTTCACATCTGCCCCACAGACAGGATTATGTGCATACTTGAGTCTGCACTGACAGGTTAAGCCGTTATTACATGAAGAACCCTTTGGTCGTTCCTGTGATGTTATGGCCACGTTTCATTCCTTCTGAGTGTTGCTTTCTCACAGCTTTGGTTGAGTAAGACACCCTCCACTTAACACAAGTCCTTGCTAAGCTAATATTAATTGACTTCAACAGCTGTCAGAAGCCCAGCTTTTTGTTACTCTTGTAATTAACGAGTGTTTAACCTGACATGATACCCATCTGCCTCAGCTCTTATCAGCATTTGATAATGTTCAGGCTTGTGTCTTAGTAACACATTGCACTTTGAAGCCAGGGGCAACCTTTCACTGAATTACACAGCAGCATTAATATGCAACATGAGAATGTTCTGAAGCCGTTTTGTCGTCAAGTCWGTGTTTCGTGAAGAATCTCTCCAGAGGTACACAGCCAACATAAGCATGTGCTTGTTTTCCATCCACTACAGCACCATCAGCTTCTTCTCATAACTGTGACAACAAATCTCCTCGTCCAGGAAGTACAGGCAAGGAGCTAAAACATTTTTTAAATCCTCCTACCATAACTGATTCTCATACCATTTTCCCCTCTTAAAATCTAGCTTGTTTTCATCAACGTGAACAGATCTGTTTCATTTAGTCAAACTTTGTGGYACACGCGTTAGCAATGCCTCATTTCTTTAGAACTGGCTCACAAAGCACAACTATTAATAACTAGTGCAAGAAGAAGTAACATTTCCCTTTAGGTATTTACTTTTGCATTTTATGCACGGATAAAAGAACCAAATGTAGTTTTTAATGGGCATGGACTTTGCAAACATGGTTAAAAGTTCTTGTGTTCTGTTGTTGTATGAAAACTATTTTTACTTAATTGTTTGTTTCGTTGTTTCTACATCTGATATACTTTCACTTATGCAGTCAAATGATATCTGACATCTGGTGCGCAGACCAACAAGTTTAAAACTYGTATTACTTCTACTGATTATATATTTTTTCCACTCGGTTTGGCCGGTTGAAGATGTCCTAAGTTTGTAATTTATCTTATTTAGGTCATCCGTTATCCTCGCAGTTCATTTCATCACATGTTTACACTTAATACGTGTACACAGAGGTTCAGTGTTGCTCACAGATGGAGGTATTCACCACATCCTAGGAACACTTAGTGTTTGGACAGAGAAGAGTTTTGTGTTTTTGCAAAAGTTTAGCATTTCTGTATGTCGTCAGTGTGTTGTCTTGTGTGTGCCTGTGCGCGTGCACAGCTCTGTCTACGTCTGCTAAACAAGAGCTCTCATTGTCCCAGAGGTTTGCTCTAAAAGGAATCAATAGCCATTGTTTATTTTGCATTCCGAGMTCAAGCTGCACTTTCAGAGCTTAATTATATAATTGAAGGACAAATAAGTTAGTAAAATTAAAGTTGAGATGAGCTAATAACTCCATGACGATGACGACGAAAAGGGACACTCAAATTAAGATATTTTTTTCTTATATGAGCCCTTTGCAGCATGGTTGTCCATTTTAGATGTGTTTAATTGATGGATAAATAGATAAATATCTTCTTTAGATTTTATATTGTGCCCAATGGATGCAGACATTATTGGAATTAAATCCAAAACACATTAAAAGTGCTGTAATGAATGCAAAATATGCAGATGTGTAAGTAATAAAAGTGCCATAGCTAATGTTTTATTGGTCTATACAGTTTAAATTTGTGTTGAGCAATTTTAAATATATCAAAAGACAGCAGAAAAAAGATGCAAGCATTCATTTATCAATATAAGCGCCAGAGTTTGTGTGTTTGAAGGGTCAGTGAGGACAATACTGGTACACTATTTTCTGAGCACACGCTGCATTACGAGCTGGAAGACCAGGAGTGCATTTCCGACTGCTTTGTCCACCATGACGATCTGTATCAGCAAACTGTCACCCTGACTCCACCTTAGTCAGAATGCTGAAACTACTCCCTTTTACTGAAAAGCAGTAAACCAGAAAAGGTGAATGCTTTTGTCTCAACAGATAAGGTAAAAAAAGGCAGCCACAGCTGTCTTTTGATTGCTAGGTATGCACATAAACTGCAGCATATAGTTACTAATACTGCACTGTTTACCACCAGTGTGTAACTACTCTGTCAAGATGAGGCTTTGAAACATTTTGATCTACTGCTTTGTCTGTTTATTTGTAATATGACACAAAGACCTCACAAGCCAAGTTTTTTATTTTTTGAATTTGCATGCAGGTAAGAGAAAAAAAAWTATTTTGGTGAAGATTGGATCACTGTCATTAAAATATCAAAGTACTCACAAAAGGAGTGGGTAAAATGATGGATATGCAAACATTGGTGGAAAACTAGCTTCTTCCACCCAAACAAACCTGAAATGTCAAACTTTAGTGTTCTCTGTTTTTAGGAAGTCTTATCATGACTTTAAACCCCACCTTCTTTTTTTGTAATCTCCAAATTGAACTAACATTACTGCAACACCCACTCATATTTTCTAATACTTGGATAGCTCTAGGTTTTAATCAGTTGAGGCACGTCTTTACAACAAAACAGGTCTTTGTCCTCAGAAAACCTTTATCAATTAGCTCTAAGAGTGTTTTATTTTCGTGCGTTTTTCTGAATATAGGTGATTGCTGGAGGATCATTTGCCACAAAATGCAAATTAGCTTTGAGTCTCAGAGCCAGTAGAAAGTAAAAAAAAAAGATGTCCAGACTTGTTTCTCATATCAGATTACACGTACGCCATTAAGGCATTTGTTGGTGTTGCATGACCGTGATCTGTTGGTGATGTGCCGATATCAAAGACTTCTTCTAATTGCAACCTGGTACAATTTCTGTCCAYGTGTTTTAAAGGCTAATAGGAAACACTCAGTCTCTCTCATTCACTCTCGCTCGCCATTCCCTTCCTCTGCTGTGATTGACCTTGCACCAGCTTACAAGACCTTGGAGGCTGAGGGGAGTGTTGCTGAGGATGCTGGAAGAGGGTGTAGGCCAGACAGTCACACTGATATATGGACCAAGTTGAGGTCGTGGAAAGAAACAAAAAGATCAAAGAAGTCAAAAACCTCATAAATACAGCAGTAAGAAGCTAAAAATTTAACATTCAGTAATGTAAATAAAATGAAACATATGAAAGGGGCACCAAGTGGTAAAAGGGGATTAGTTTGAGTTAGGGGCGTGCAACGGGGAAGACCACAGAGATGAAGAAATCAATGGAGCAAGGCTGTTCCTGCCCAGACATGATGGATCATAAAGACCTCTGATTATTACTCTGGCACATTACCACACTCTACATCGCCACAGATACGCACTGCTTTCTTGAAGAAACCATGGAAAATGATTGCAACAGAACTCAGAGGGCATCAGTTCTTCATCCGTCAAGTCATAACAACACTGGCACATTCATTTAAGGAAATCTTTAAATAGATCCCTCTGTTCCACCTCATTAAAAGTGTCCAGCTGTGGCTTTTGTTCAGTAAAAATCCGCAGCATCTTATTTGTGTGGCAAAATGTGTGTCCGATCAGACTGAAGCTGTYCTGCAGTTAAAAAAAATAGAAGTAACATTATATGAAATGAAACCTAGAGGTCCTGGGGAACTCAGGATAAATCATGAGTATCGGGCCAGGCTGACTTTTCACAGGAGTGAAGATGAAATGATGTAAACAGAGTTCATGGGAACAGAAACATGCCCATGGTTGTGTAAACAAAAACATGGCATATTCCAGAGCAAGACACTGAGTCGAGAAATGTTTTGGACACGAAAGGGTGATTAAACTGACAAGGAGCTTTACTTCTTTCATTATATGAAAAACCAGCGTTTAATAAAAGTGTCAGACTTTATTAAAATTGTTTTTATTAGGCATTGGAATTGATTTGTATCTATATCACAGTACGTGCAACGTCGGACAGTTCTCGCATTTGCATACATTTGTGCTTTGAATCCAAAGGTCGTCTCTAGCTGTTGCGCTCTTTCAAGGGTCATGCAAGGTGAACAGAAAGCGTTTACTTCTTCACTTCCTGTTTTTCCTCTCTAGAAGCATGGTTTACCCATGTGGCTAGGTCACCCTGCCTTCAGCTGCTTCTGCAGCAGGGTGCTGAAATATTGTGTTTGCTGTGCTGTGTAGTTAGCAGTAGTTAGCTGCTGAAGGTACACGTGCCTTTCTGGGAAAAGCGATTACCCTGTAAGGGTGTGGTGACTCACGCCGTCTGTGTGATAAGAGCCGAATTGGCCCCTGGGAGCCTAATCATACAAATTCCCTCAGCACTAAAAATATACACCAAAAACAAAATGGCAGTAATAATAATGTTTTTCACTTCAGACTGTGACGTAACCGTTGCAATACTGAGACCACTTTTATGTGATTGTAACGTCAGCATCATTTTTTCCTTCTCAAACTTGCCTCCAAAAAGGACTTAACTGGATCTTTTATGAATTGTTGGATGACAGATTGATTTATTATGTGTTTATGGGACAGCAAGTAGCCATGGAAATCTTAAACGGAGTGATAATTTCAGCCTGTGTGTGTGTGTTTTTCTCCAGCAGCGGGCAGGTCAGCCTCCTGGTTGCTCCTCCCCCTGCCCTCACCTGGCCCTCAGCCCAGAATGTTGCTGCAACTCAGGCTAGCGCTCATTGGTCCCGACTCTCACAAGACTTCACAAGAAAGGAAATGACTAAACTCTTCTCCCTCGTGCCCTGCCTCAACCCCCCCCCCCCCCCTCGCTTTCACTCTCTTCCTTTCGTTCACCTTTAAACGCATTAATAATGGCCAGCTTTGCGTTACTGGACGGCAAGTGATACAGGACTTGATCTGATTTTCTCCTGCGTCGGTCAGAAGAGGCGGAAAGTTGTGAATAGCAGCATTGTGCGTTTTTTGTGTGTGTGAGTATGAGCGCTGTGGTGTGATGAGCGTGTGTGTGCAATATGTGTGTTTAGAGCGCAGGGCAGGGTGAAAGTTTTATTTGTTTTAGCTGACACCCCTGCATTTTTGACATTTGTACATATTCCTCATTCCCGCAGCTGCATAGCGTTGCAGTGGCACGACTGAAGAGGTCCAGCAGATCTCCTCTGAAAGACACGAGGAGACAAAAGCATAAAATGTTTTTATGTGAGTCATTAGACTAATCTGTCTCTCTCTCCCTCCCGTTGTCTCACTCTCTCCTCAGAGGAAGTGCCTTCCCTGATGTCTGCTGCAGCTTTGACCTGCTTCTACAGCTGAAGCTCCACCCTCCCCCCCTCGCTCGCCCGCTTGCTGCCACAGTAATACAAGTCTAAGGACAGCAGCCGCACCCTTTCCCCGCCGCCTACGCTCCGACACCAGTCGTCCCCTTTCTGCCATCGCCAACCACTGCACCCAGCTGGGCCCCCAGCCTCAGCTTTCCTCACAGGACAGCCACTTCCGCTCACCACCAGCCGACCAGCCTTACCACTGCAGCCCAGCACACCACCAGGCCCGCGCAGCATCTCACACACCTTTGCCTTTCACCTTCGCCTTTGACCCTTGAAGCCTCCACTCAGTCCTCAGTGTCCTTAACCTCCCTGAAGCAGACTATACCCCCGAGTGTCGCCTTCGTCGCCTGCTTCACCGCACCTAACCAGAGTGCTCTCATTTGTAGGCGAGAGTAAGCAATAAACAAATTGACAGAAAGGTCAAGCCAAAACGGACAACTTTTTAGGTAGTTTTTCTTTTCTTTTCCTGGATTTACTCACAGGTGTTGTTTGATCAGGAAAATGACTCATTAGCATCAAACATTGTCCTGCAACATTTCAAAAGGAGCCCTCTCAATCGACTGACGCCTTTTTTTTAATTTTGAATGTTTCATTTGAGCACGTCACAGACAGCAACAGCAAAAAATCAGAAAGGACTCTGAAGTCGTGGAATAAAACACTAGACTTTATTCGCGATTGAACACATCTCTGCGAGGAATATTTGGGCTACAGAGTTGCCATGGCCATGAACATAGCACATATCCGTGACACAAAGTGGCTGACGCTGGAAGTGTGCCGGGAGTTTCAGAGGGGCACCTGCTCGCGCTCCGACCAGGAGTGCAAGTTTGCTCATCCGGCCAAGAGCTGCCAGGTGGACAACGGCCGGGTGATCGCGTGCTTCGATTCGCTAAAGGTAAGAGGGAGAAGAAAACCCCAAAAAAAAGTAGTGGGAAGGAAGTAAYGAGGTCGTATCTCAGGCAGTGAGATGGATGTGAGACTGCAGACAGTTTGAGGAACCAAATGAAAATAGCATGTGAGGAGTGCTACATCTGGCCACAACATGTGCTCTGTTGGCCCCACTTGTTTCTGGTCATGTGACTAATGTGATCAAAGGCACAAAAGTGAGGAGGGAGTTGCATCTTTTTTTTTAATTCAGGAAGTGGTCGTGACTTTTTTTCATAAAGCACTTCTTTAAACTGCACTGTACGTTTTAGTATTTACCAAGCAGCCTAATTTCTGTTACATTTCAATTTCATAAACACAGTTGAATGAATTTCTTCAGCAGCACACAAATGATGATGAAAACCCTGCAGTGATGTAGCTTTTGGAGAGAAAAAACAGATGAATTAGTTGACAAGTGCTCAGACTCTACAGATGCCTAAATGTTTCACATCCTAACAGCAAAAAAAGGAGTGAAGCGGTAGCATCGTCATGGTGCTCTCACTCACTCAAACCACTTCCTGTGCAAAGGCCTAAGGGCRGCCACAGGGGGTTTGTGTGAGTATCTCTGTGAATGTTTGTATTTTTCGAGCACTGTTGAGGCAAATTTTAGAAACCGGATTCAGCAATATTCCTTTTTTTTTTTTTTTTTTTGCTAGAAAGTAGGCGTTTCTGTTTTCCAAGTCATCCTCGCTTCACAATCACTCTTTGAGTCAGAGCTCCAGATCTTTAACTTCAACTCAGAGTTTCCAGTAATGGCACACACATGCACAAGGTTTGGCTGTCTGTTCTGTTACTTCTCTTTTTRTTTAACCCCTGCAGACACTGGTGACTTGTGGTCATTGTGTGTTTAAATAGGTTAGGATTAAAGACAAAATGTTTGAGTAGTTACAGAATGCCATATTAAAAGACAAAATTGACCAAAGGAAAACTAAAGCCCATATGAACTCTTCTTCTTGAATTAAAAGAAATGTGCAATTGCCTCTGTGCATGTCCAACATTTTATATGCAGCCTTCTTTTTTTTTCGACCACATCAATGCTTATTGCCGCCTTTATTTAGCAGTTTTTTCTGATGAGGTATGTAAAAATGTTCCAGTGATTTACAGGAAGTAATTTATTTTCCCATTTTACTGTGCTGTAGTGATGCTGACGTGTTCCCAGAAATGAATCGCAGGAGTAAAATGTTATAAATAGCAATAGACAAGTTGGCTAGTACTGAATAAAAAAGAAAAAAAAAACTCTGGGATCCTTCTGCTGAAATAAAACTGCAACAAAAGCTTGACTTAGATTCCCTTGATTTGGATGTCACCATCCCCCTCGGTTCTGCAGAAGTTGTGCGCAATCGAAGCATACGCTGACTGAAAGGTGGATCTCCTACCATCAGGTCGAAGGATACTGATACAGTACATCTAGATGTGTTTCGATTATCAATAACATTATAAAGGTCACCAACATAAAAGAGCAGCTAGTAGATGTGTGGTAGCTGTTTGAAAGACCTGTGGGGTTTATTTTAGTAGTTTGGACTAATTTTCAGCTAGACTTTATTTATTATTTTTTTTTGTATTATCGGAGATGGGTGATGCTTTTTTTAACAGCTTGTTCCATTTTTGTCCTCCGGTAATGAAAAGCAGAGCAGGTCTCAAAAAAAAACCCACAGTGGAAACGGCACAAGAAGGTTAAAGACTGAGAAAAGAATAAAGAAAAATAATAACAGTAAAAATCAGAAACCGAATCTTGATATTTTTTTCATTAAGTGCATCGATAGTTGGTGAAATCTAAACCTGAAACGCACCGAATCATAAATGTTCCTGTTGCACAGATCTCCAAACACTGATGAGATCAGTTGTCCTACTTTACTTTAAAACAGATTAAACAGCTGAAATGTGGGACAAACTCTCCGATGATTTGCGTTACGTGGAGCCATATTGCTCTCCTTTACAAGTCTCACGCACACGTCAACGCACCCTCTTGGACATGTGCACAGGCTTCTTTGCCCATGAGAGTGGATCGACCTTCTTCTTGAGAAGTATATAATTAGAACAGGTCTCACATGATCACCAGTGCATAGCTGAGCAGGTCACACCCAAACCAAGTCATTTCCCCAACATCCACTCTCTCTCTCTCTTTTTAGCCTGTGTTTTTAACATAGAGAAAACACACACGTATGCACATGTGGTCAAAGCCTCGCACACAAAACGAAAGCATGCTGGTTCAGAGTCTATGAAGGAAAAGACAAAAGATAATATTTGTGTAAACCAAAAAGAAAAAAGGTTCTTTTGTAACTTCTCACTGCAAAATTCTAGGCATATGTGAGAGATATACCTTCTGGTTAGAGTTTATTTATTTATTTAGCCCAATGCAGTTGTGCTCTGGCTTTAGACTTGGCCTTAACCCCAGAGCACGGCCCTTTCTGCTGCTTGTCTATCTGGTTGGTGCAGCACAGGCAGCTCAGCTATGTTGAAACAGGGCAAATATTTGGAAAAGGATAATGGCGGCCTGGACTCCCAGATTTAAATTTGGCTTTTTAATGTTGCCTGTTGATGATTAACTGCCGAGCAGATAGTTCAGATGTGATAAAACCATTAAGAATGTGTAAACAAAATGCACATAGCTACAATTAATATTAGCAACAGATGGTTCTAATGAAGCAGGTGGGAAAGCGCAGAGTTTAAAGCAAAAGCATYGTCATATTTTAATGAAGGAGGCCCACTTTTATCCATCAGTGTCTGTTATCTCGTGGATTCAGGTCCTCTGACTTGCTGCACCGATGACTTCCTAATATGACTTGATTATAATTGTCGCTTAAAGCTGCGGAAAGAACAGAGCTAATGTTGTTCACATTAGTTTATAGACTGAATGTGAAGCGGTATGGGTTACTGTCTGCAGTGAACRAACTTGTCGTTGCTTGTTTTCATTCTTGTAGTGCTCCTTCCTCTGGGTGTCCCGCTCAGTCTAGTTTCTAGCTCATTTAGTTCAGGCCACACCCATTTAAAAGCATGGTTCACATTACGCCTATTAACAACCCCTATCCCCACACACACATTTACATTTAGAAACCTGTGTGGCAAGTGTGCAGGGGGTGGGGGGAGTGACATCAGCTCTGTTATGTGAGCTATCAGCAGAAGCAGGTTGCCTTTTTTTTTTCTTTTAAGCCAACTCTGCCTCTCATGTCGTAAAATAAAAAGCGGTTAATATCTGTCTTGGACAGCAGTTTAAAGATACGGACAATTTAAAGCATTGGAGGCTTTGTGCTCTAACTGCCAACTTGACACACCCACTGTCGTCACGTCTGACTTCTGAGCAAAAAACAGGCCAAATGGGAACACATTTGTATTTTAAAGTTATTTTTTGGGCCATATTGATACAAAACTGTTTTTTAAATTATTTTTTATTTATTCATTTATTTTTTTTTTTCAGTTCTGCCCCCAATCTAACTTGGAGACATGTTTGTGACACAGTCTTTGGTCATCTGTTCTAGTTTACTAAGTTAATTTGCAGCATTATAGGTGACCATTCAAGTTAAGGAAAAAGAAACAATTAAAACTAAAACTGGGGGGAAAAGAAAAGAAAAAAGCATCTATACTCTTCAATACATTTTACACTGGGCACTTGATTGGCAGCCCCTGGAGGGACCAGACCCTCAAAACAAGTCAGTATCAACAGCAAAATAAGCTATTTGACTATTTTTTACGTGTGCAACCCACTTACAGTACACAGCTCTAMTGCTCATCCCACAAATCATGATCCTTACAAATGTGGCACCATTTAAAATGGAAATTAACAGGATTTCCAATGGTATAAGATTTATTGCCAAGTAGCATTGTAACAACAAAGAAATATATTACCAAACACACATTTCCTTACTTTTTGTACTGAGTCTTTTCTAAATTTTCAAGTAAATGAAGCATAAAGGCAACAAAATTAATCAAAAACAATATTTTAATTTCAGAAAGCAAACCCGATATGAGCTTTGAAAAAAATAAATACAGACTCGGAGTGCACAAACCCACTAAAATAAATGTTTTGCAGAAGTTGTTGAGACAGATAAAACAAAAATAAAGTGATAAAGAAAGGGACACGACCAGAGAAAGAATTTCAGTAACAAGAAGCAGCACATACAGTTCAAAAGAAAACTCCTCTGCATTAAGGAAGCTTGTAAAAGATTTTTCACAACATATTAAATATGACTATCTAATAATATGTCTCTATATTTTCTAACCATAAAATAGTAAAACATTCATTTAAAAGGCTCGGGTCTGGTCGCCTTCTTCCTTCATGTTTTTTTGCATTTCTGTCTGTCTGTCTCTGTGTTTCCTCTTTCATTTTGATAGCATGTTTCTAGCAGTGACTGGAATAAACAGTAACAAATTAGACACTAACATCCGTATATCAAATAAGTAGCAATGGTTAGACACGTGTTTGGGCAAATAATAGCTGTTTTGTGTTAATGGTGCTTTCAGATTTTGAACAGCCCCGTGCTCTTTAAAATCAAGATTTTGTTCAGTTAGTGTAACAAGCACAGGTTATAAGTTCAGGAGGTTAATAATGTATACACAATATTGACTAGCACACATTTTAAATGGTAACAACTAGGACTTTAGTTGTTATTTTATAGGAACCAGTGATGAATTGTAACAGTTAGAGTTTACGTAATTAAATTTACATCTTTACTTAAGTATTTTCAAATTAATTCACAATAAATCATCTACAACTTTTATTTTTCTGGTTCTCTCTCTGGATGAAGCTTCAGGTTGCTACTGTAAAGCTGTAATTTAGACCAATTTTTTTTTTTCATTTTTGGTCTATGGGAATTTCATCCCTCAGTAATTGACACAGGGAATCTTCATCCTAATTGGATTTTTAATGAGATTATGGTGAGCACAGTCACAGTGAATAATTTTGCTCTTTCCTTCATTTTGATTCAGACAAATGAAAGAGCCAGCTTTTAGGACGCTGCTCGTATTTCTGTGTTG